CTCTTCTCGTGAGAAAGCCGAGTGCTTTGCAGCGCATTTTGCGAACAAGTGTAGCCTTGGCAATAACGACCTCTGTGCTGCTGACCTGCCTGACCTGCAACGACCTGCCTATGCCACGCTAAAGCACATTCACTTCCGCGCAGCAACGGTCAAACGGCACTTGGCGAACTTGGCTGTATCAAAAGCAACTGGACCGGATGGCATCTCTGCTCGTGTGCTCAAGATGTGCTCATCTGAACTTGCAGACCCACTGGCAAAGCTCTTCGCCATCTGCTTCTTAGCCGGTGTGCAACCTGGGGCATGGAAACTTGCCCATGTAGTCCCAGTTCACAAACGGTCCTCCAGATCTTTGGCATCTAACTACCGACCAATATCACTGCTAACGATCATGTCGAAAGTCATGGAGGGCATTGTAAACACGCAACTGGTTAACTACCTAGAGAAGCATGAGGTGTTGCCAAACAGCCAGTTTGGATTCCGACGTGGTAGAGGAACCGCAGATATCTTAACGGCTCTCCAACATGAATGGGTCCACACCATAAGTACTGGCGGTTGTGTCCAGGTCCTCGCCGTGGATATTGCCGGTGCGTTTGACCAGGTATCGCACACAGGAGTGCTGTACAAAGCAAAGCAGGCCGGCGTCGACGGACGCCTGCTTGTATGGCTACAGGACTACCTCACCAACCGAAACATCCGCGTTGTGGTTGGAGGCCAGACGTCAGATGCTCAACCCATCCAGGCTGGTGTCCCCCAAGGCAGCATCCTAGGACCCAGCCTCTTCCTTCTATACACCTGTGACATTGAACAATGTTTAACTCCAGGAACGCAGCTGAGCAGCTTTGCAGACGACACCATACTCTACAGCTTAGTACAGCCAACTGACGATCTCCAACAGTCCACCGCCTCCCTCCAAGGGTCCCTCAACAGTCTTGAGGAGTGGGGCCGCAAGTGGCGTATCTGTTTTGAGCCAGCCAAGACACAGCGCATGACTCTACATCGCAAGCACGTTCCCCCCTGCACTCCACCAGTCACCTTTGGAGGTGAAGCACTCCAGGAGACAGATACCCTGAAGCTGCTGGGAGTCATGCTCGACCCTACTCTCTCCTACAGAGCGCACACTCGCAGTGTTGCACTGCGCGCCTCCCAAAGGCAGCACCCATCCTGGACGACCATGGTCGAGTGACGGTCTACAAGGGATTCGTGCGACCCCTACTTGAATATGCCCCACTGGCCTGGTCGAGCGCAGCCGCAACTAACATGGCCCAGCTGGACAAGGTTCAGCAACGTGCCCTGCATTTCCTGGGACCTGGAACCATCCTCCAAAGTCTTCAGCTTCGTCGGATGGTGGCAGCCCTGTCATACTTGTTCAAGCTGCACTACATTCCAGGGCCTCCCCAGGTAAAGGCCATGCTGCCACCAACCAAGCCCCCTGCCGTAGCGAGCATGTGCACACGGCAAAAACGTCAGACGCACCATGCCTTTCAGCTGAAGTGGACATCCCCTCGCACAGCCCCTGACTACCTCCTGCGATCCTTCCCCTTCTTCGCCATCACACCCTGGAACAACCTGCCTGCGGACCTCCTGCTTCACGAGCCTCATTCAAGACGCCTCCAAACCTTCAAGGTCAACGTATGTAAGGATCTAATCCGAAAGAGATGGCTGTGGTCCACACAGTACCTGTGACGATGATATTGAGATTTGAGACCCATTTAGTATTTACCTCTCTACTACTACTTGCTTGTTATGATTATTGTTCTCTTTCTTCATTTTCCCTTCTGGTTTAGTCATTACACGTATTTATATTATTTGGTGCAATACTAGCGCCCCTTTCTCGCACCAAATTATTATTTTTGCTACCTGACCATGCAACCCCCCCCCCTTTTTTTCGATGCCAGGTTGCAACGCTAACGCCGAGACCCCTGGTCGGTCGAGTTGCTCCCTGTACATCGGCACGTCGTCCCTACATCCCCTGTGTCTTGTCTTGTGTTTGTCTCCACATGTCTCTTTGTAGGGCTGTGTTCCCAATAAAAAATAAATAAAATAAAATAAAAAATAAAAAAGGGTCCTGCACATTCAACACCCAACCGGGTCTACGGGATTATACAAGATTATACGGGATTTCGTGCATCTGTACAATGTGCATAAGGGGCCGTCCGTAAATATCGATGTTTTTTTAGAGACGATATTGGTGCGTCTGGGGGGGAGGGGGTTTGAGCCATGTGCGTCTTTTCGAGCATCAGAAAAATATCGATGTAAATATCTGAAGTTTCGCCGATCCCTGCACGCGGACGTCTAAATGGCTATACAAGAAATGTGAAACCAGCTTCCGTTCGCGGAGCTAAAACTCGCGACACAAGAACAAAATCAAAAATTGGAAGCTGTACGCCCACGGCGAATTTCAAGAGCAAAAGAATGAGCTATTGATTGTGGAAATCGGCCGAACGATGCCTGCAGGAGACCTTTTTCAAGACGTAGAGGCAGTGCGAACAAACACGGACGAACTCCACAAGAGTTTCCAGTCTTCACTGTCTGAACAAGGATTTGAAAAAATTCAAGCCCGAGCGTAGCCGCTTTGGCTACACCAGTACACGATGGCTGTGAGCACTGCAGCGCCAACCCGGTTCGCTCCCCCCAGGCGATGCAGCTATTGCGTGAGTGCGGCGGGATTTTCACGCCTACACCGGACCCTCAACATCCTGGGCACTTCATGAGCATCCAAAAAATTAATATTGATTCCATGATCTAGATGTACATGTGCGTCTTCTGGGGGGAGGGAGGGGGGTCAAGGGAGAGAAGCACCAATATCGTCTCTAAAAAAACATCGATATTTACGGACGGCCCCTAAGGCCTATTGTGGCAGAGTTTTTCAACAGTAGTCTGTTGTCTGTCCCTGCGGCAATTTGCGGAATAAAACTCTCGAAAACTTGCGCAAGAAATTGCGGCAGAAAACAACAAAAAATGCGACGAAAAGTGCAGAATGCAGAACTTTCCAGGAATTCGCGGAATCATTTGCAGAAAATTGCGGATTTGGGCCAAATCACGAAATTTGTTGCATCGCTTATCTACTTGGAAGTAGTACGAGTCGTGCTGTGCAAATAACCTACAGGATCATGGAAAGCACTGCGTGAAAAGTGCACAAAAATATGAGATACATGTATAGTGCATAAAACAACAAAAACGCGGGAAATCGCGGGTTTGGGCCAAAATCGCGAAATCTGTTGCATCCGTGGGATCGCGATTTCCTGGAGGGACAGAGCAGTAAATAACAGGGTGATAAAGCACATGACACAATGAATTTTTCAAGCAGCTTCCCCTGGGCCCCCGTGAACTGCTTTTTTTCCCTTCCACCTTCTTTCTAGCTCTACAGACCGTCATGCAACGTGCCACAAGATGGGAACAGAAAGTGAAGATTTGTGCAATGATTATGTCCCCGTGTATGTGGGATCTCACGAGCTTTGCCCGCCATGCGCCAGTGCCACTTGTCTTTTTTTCTTCTTCTTTTTTTACGAGAAACCACGAACCTCGAGAACAGAATACTGCATGATAGAGGTGGTTGCAGACCCAACTGTGGTGATGAAACTGGAGCATCTCCGCCGACCTGAGGTCTCGGCTTCAGTGACACTTCAGTGCACCAAAAACTGGGGAGGAGAAGGCACAGGGGGAGGGGAGGGGGTACATTTATAAATTATAATTATAGAGGAAGGAAAACGGAAAGATGATACATGTGATAGAGTAAGAAAAAATTAATAAAAAAAAAAAGGGGGAGCCAGGGTGCAAGCGGAGAGGGTGTTCAGGGAGTGTTCAGAGGGCATTTGTGGCTGAGCGCCAGTCTCGGCTGCGGAGAGACTTGTAGGCGCCTTCCTTGAACGCCTGCACTCCCTTCTGCGTGGGAAGGTTGCGTTTTTGCCTGGGAACTAAGAAACTGAACATGCACGTTTTCTGATTCATGGGGAATCATACTATGATGCAAACCCGTAGTCATACTGAATGATCTGCCCTCTGTATACATGATTGTAGAGATCACGTGATAATGCCATCATATGACATCACCGTGTCACGACTCACGTGCGTGTGTGGTGTAGTACGGAGCAGCATCACAAGCATGCAAGCACTTGATTGACACTCCATAAAACTCCTATCCAATGACGTCATCTGCATAACCTTTGTGGCCCACAAAAAAGGTCCATCGAACTAGCAAGAAGGGACTATTCAGTCTACAATACACTGCATTGTCAGCTCTAGCGTAGGATTTCAAACCAACCGGGTACACGTGTCCCTGGCACAACTCTTCCAACCGGGTCAAAGCCGGGTCAGAGCCGGGTTCGATCAAGTGCGGCTACTGCATGTGCATCAGTCTATCATCAGGGAGTTGTAAGTACTTTTACGTTTACGTCTCCCTGATGTACATTGGATTCCCAACCGGGCCACCTGACCCGGTGTTCGTTTTCCTAACGAGTCCAAGCACTCCCCAGCCGGGTCGCTGACCCGTGGCTGACCCGTGGCTGACCCGTGGCTGACCCGTGGCTGACCCGTGGCTGACCCGTGGCTGACCCGTGGCTGACCCGTGGCTGACCCGTGGCTGACCCGGCTCTGGAGCAGACACTGCGTGACTGTACACAATGTCATGTTTTGGGGTGGGTTTGGGGTGAGTTTTGGGGTGGGTTTTGGAGTGAGTTTTGGGGTGGGTTTTGGGGTGGGTTTGGGGTGAGTTTTGGGGTGGGTTTTGGAGTGAGTTTTGGGGTGGGTTTTGGGGTGGGTTTGGGGTGAGTTTTGGGGTGGGTTTTGGGGTGAGTTCCCCATGCACATCCTCAGCACAATACATGTAGCTAGGTCAAATAGCATGCCTCAGTGGGCTGGGATGTTTGCGCTTGGAGATGATCGCAATCTTATCGTTCTCTCCAGCCTCAAACATCACCAGGCATGCGATGATCGAAGAGATGATCCGCTTCCAGGAGAGGTACATATGGCACTGGAAACACAAACATGAAGGAACTCCGTGATGAGGGCTCCACATAAATTAATTTGCACAACACAATAATTATAACATTCTTTCACTTGAATAATAACGAGTGCACGCAGTCCGGTAAACTCCGAATCCACTTTCAAGACAAGCAATTAGTTGGACAACGGACAGGCACATCGGGAGTAAGCAGGCAAGACCCAGACATCCCAGGCCAGTCATACAAATGTACTATCAAGTCTAAATGACCACTGTTCGGTAGATTTGTGACGACGTACATGTATGTGCCCGTCTTCAAGCTCTGTTTGTGTGCCACTACATGTAGATGCTTTAAAACGCATATCAACTGCATAGTTATCAAGGATGTACAACATATACTCGTAGAAAACTCTTCCGGTGAAATTAAGTTAGTGAATAAGAGACCGGGCTAGAAGAGATTCAACTTTGGTCTTCTCAGAGAACCAGGATGGTGTGTTCCTAGGGCAGATTTGGGAAGCGGAAGCATTCGGTCATCTCTTTGACTTTGACTTCTTCTTCGTAGCGTCCCACGCTGGAGAGGGGAGGTAATACCACAGAACATCGCGAACATAGTACCCTGCCCTATCATACAATCTCTCTTTTTGCTGTTTCTCTCCATTCTCGCTCTTCTACCAGCAGTGTTGTGCCCTGAACACCGCTAGAAATGTTGGAATATTACATCAAGCCCGGCGGAACTGGTCCGGTTGGTCAGGCCATGGCCGGAACAATGTTTTGGTCACCAATGTGTGTTTAGTGCTGCGGCGGCATGGCCAGACCAAGCAAACACTGCTTCCGCCGGTCATGTACAGTCATGCAGATCACATCTTCCCTGAATCTGTGAGGCAGGAGGGCAGGGTTGACACATCTGTCAATGATGTCAGACTAAGTTTAGTCTGCCTCCTGCAGCTTTGAGAGAGCTCTCCACGGAGATATCCGCTGCCAAAGAATACCAAAGAATCACAATGAATGCTAGATATATGGAGAGCTGGAATGCAAACCCACATAACTGCATCTTATCTGTTTTCGGATTATGGCCAAACAAGGATTATGGCCAAACAAGGATTATGGCCAAACAAGGATTATGGCCAAACAAGGATTATGGCCAAACAAGATTCATCTTATGTGTGGTTTGTATCTGAATCTATATCTGGTCAGTGGATGCCAGTTCTGGAATGGTTCTTGTCAGTTTATTAACATGAGATTTAGCCTGGTGGTGCCCTTTAGAGTACAGTAAGACCTCGCTTAACCACACACATCCGTTTCCACAAAATAACCAGATAGGCGAGGGAATCGGATAATCGAACACCGGTTATGTTAGATGCATCACGTATGCTCTAAATCTGTAACCAGCTCTTTTCTTCCGGATGGCAAGGGATCCGGATAAAAGAGGATCGGATAAGCGAGGTCTGACTGTACACGGAGCTGAAAATCTGATTTTCTCATATTCGGCACGTACAAGGCTTTGCATCTCAGCTCTTCATACCACAAATAGCACAGGGATTTTACCTTTTATGGAATTGTAGAGTGGAAAGTTGCCAGAGGAGATGATTTCCGATGTACTACTTGAGCTTAACCGCTGAGCCTGAAGTGAGCAACAGCCATACATAGATGGTCAGCAGAACTCTGCACAGCACCTACTGTGACAAACGAAGAAAACCCGGCCTACACCATACCAAAGGCATCAGGAACTCTATTGGCCAGCCTGGGACCTTTGTGTAACCCTCAGGAATATCAAATTTATGAACAAACCTGCGAGCATGCTGAACAGTCCCCTCCCAGCTCCTCCCCCCCCCCCCCCACCCCAACCCTCCCGACACATATCACACATGTAGCGACAAAGTCACATACAGTGCCATACCGATACAGTGACGTACCATCAACTGCATCTGACCGCCGGCAAGGACTCGACTGTCCAACGGTGGTAGTGTGATCGTACTGATACTGGTCATGGAGGACGAAGCAGAGGCTGCCACAGTTGCTGCAAGACCAGATGCCGCATCTACTCTCCTGGACAATAGCAACAGAACAAACACAATGCAAAAAATACAGCAAAAGTTATAATATTATGACGGGCAGGCCTCAAGTGTGATGACGTCAGAAGTCAATAGATGATGACTCCTGAGCCAAATTAGATCCAATGTGACCATAGAAAAGTACAGTGTTGGGTTGGGAGGCCACTCAGCTCAGGCCACAGGGTGTTTCTTGTTTCGTGTTTTTTACAAGATAGCCACAAACCATCATGGTGCAAACGCCGGCAAAAACGCACAGAGATGCACATAGCGATGGCAGCCGAAGCAGTGGAGGCCTGGCAAGAGCAGCTAAACCGACGTGTTAAGCAGTTCTCGGTTCCAGCAGCGGGCCCCCGGGCAGTCCCCACCAGTGTGTGCGTCACCCTACTGCGAAGGAAAATGCCCAAGCGTGTGTGGATCAATATACTGCAAAGCGGGGAAATCAAGCGAATAGGGAGTTAGCTGCATGCTGGAACACCCCATCTCCATTCGACAATCATCTTACCCAAACATGCCACCTGGCGCTGGCCTAGCAACACTCACAACCTTCTTCTTCCGCTGCCGCTGGGGAAACTCCTTCCATCTGGACGAGAAGAGCACAACATCAGAAACACCAGCGGTTCAAGTAGAAACATGCACAGATCAGATGAATTGCCATGTTGCAATACTGTACCCTGATGAATTGCCATGTTGCAATACTGTACCCTGAGTGGTTACTGCATACAATGCTGCAGGGACACTCTGCAAGATAATTTTCCCGCTTCCCATCGGTCCTTACGTCGCATCCCGTTGCGCCCCGTCGAATGTGAACTAGGCTTTACCCAAGAGAGTCCAGTGTCATTAGGTTTTTACCCAAGTGGGATTTACCACTATAAATATAGAATACAGCAACATACAACATACAACAACAGAATTTCTTAAGTTTGATCCGTTTCCAAGGTAACATGTGACACAATGTAAGCGCTTAGTTTGTGCAGTATACAGTCAACTTTGTGTGCAACGACACTCGGCTGGGCATCAGGAAAGTGCCCTTATACCCGAAGTCTCATTACACGTGTTACAGGTAGAATGGACTTTGCTCTGGGCATGGAAATTCTGTCGTTATTGGCGAATTGTCGTTATATCCGCAGTCGTTATTATTATTTATTTATTTTATTTATTATTACACCTTCCAGTGGCTAAAGATGAATCAGTGCCAATATTGATGAGGAGGGGGCGTTTGCCAGCCATGGCGTAGAGAGAAAGTATAAGAAGTGTGGTGGTGCACCAATACATGTACCATGGTAAGTAACAGAGGAAAGGGAGCAGTACAGCCGACGTGAGACGACCGAGACTAAACAGGTACTGTATAAGCAGAAATATTCGTCTGGAATTTAATTTCGTCTTTTTCGTCCAAGGAGATTTTGGACTAAATTAAATGTAGGACGAATATCGATTTGTCCAGCTTTTCTATACACTCGTATGATCCATGGACGAAATTTTCAACCGGACGAACTCCTTTGCTTTGGAGTTGGACGAAATTATTGACCGACGAAATTTTCTGCCTCTACAGTATTAGCGAAGTTGACTATACATGGTGGTGGATTGGGCATGCATACTAAAGGCAGAAATTTTCCGTGGTGTAATATTTTCGGTATTCTCCAAAACGGGCGGTTCGGTGGAGGGAAATTTTCGGTAAAACCCGTTTTCCAGGTAAGTGTACTAGTACTACATGTATACAGTACCGGTAGTAACGAAATTTTCGGTGTGTTTTACTTTCGGTAAAAATTGTCGGCACCGAAGTTATCGAAAATAAAACACCACCGAAAATTTCTGCTTTTACGGTACTATACCAATAAACACAAGTACAATGACCAGAGCTTTGGCCGTAGTAGCAGTAAGCAAAATACAGTGAAACAAACTAGCAAACTAGTAACTTACTGATACTGCACTTGTTCCTTGGCTTGTCCCTTGCCTTGTCTCTTTAGCCGGCCCTGGAAGCGCATGGCACGCTGTCGCATTAGGTCCACAGTGGCTGTGTCGCTGAATCCCCTGATACAGCACAGCACAGAGTGGGAGTTGGAGAAAGAACACAAGATCATTCAGGAGGGACGGGCTCAATTGCAGTAGGGCAAACAGAACCGCCGGAAGCGGTTTTCGACTGGTCCGGTAGTTTCAGTGCCTTTCATACTTTGTGTATGATATGGTGGGTATACATGCCCTCCATGCTATCAAGAGTCCATAACACCAAGAGTGTGTAACTGGGGTCTGGCTGCTGTAGGCCCACTGCGCGGCGGAATTCCAACATTACGTCTTGCCGCTGAGGCACAGCTGTAGAAACCTCCTCATTCCGCGGTGCTGGGAACCAGGGAGTAGTGCAAGCGCAACGAACAAGTACGTCATTTTTGACGTTATGTTGGAATTCCGCAGCGCGGATCCCCAAGTACAGAGTTGCACACTCTTGGGGATATGAACTCTTGATAGTAGTACATATGTGTTGATGGCCGGTGATAAACACCTGACCATCCAGACTGGTCCTGGCGGCCCTGCGCCGACACACCATGCAGTGATACGCGAGGGATTTCGAAAGAGCACGATCAAAACATTGTTTCAATTTCATGGTACCAGGCTTTGTCATGTCCCTCAATTACAACACTCAACACAACGATGTGATCATGTATAACTTATTTCCGTACCCACAAAATGCCACAAGGCCGGGTGCACAATCCAAGTGACTTGTGGAGCATGGGAATTCCCCAATGGAAGTGAGTGCGAACACATAACTGTGTGAGCTACTGTAAGCCAACTAAAATTCGGCGCATATTTCTTTTCGCCTATTTTCGGCCTGGTCATGTTCGAACATGACCAGGCCGAAATTTTGTTTTGCAAGTTTCAGTGTGACAGTGTATACAGGCAGCAGCAGTACAGGGCGAAAACGTGGTGCGGCCGAAGTGTGTTTTTAGCCCTGGGAGGCCGAAATTTGAACGGACTGAAAATTTATAGACTGACATTACTTACTTATAAGTATGAACATTACTGTACAATGTAAGTCGGGAGAGGAGGGGGGGGGGAGTGGGAGGGGGGGGGGGGGGAGTGGGGGGGGGGGGCGGGGGGATAAGTTCAGTTTTGGGTGCCCGGCGTTGCCACCCTGCAAAACGCTGGCCACCGCACACTGCCACTGTTGGTCGTTGAGCGGGACGTCGCACTCCCACCTCGATCGCGTGACGATCCTGGCCAATTCGGGATGACTAGCAGGTATGGTATTATAAATTTCAAAACTTGATAACTATACAAGACAAAGAGGTCTCTCAGAGACTTGCGATAGTGAGCCGGGTGTGCTTTTAGTATTCCTAGTTGCAATAAAGCTAGTGCCTAGTGGATGTGGCGGTGAATGGTTAGTGACGTACCGGTGACCCTACACTTCATGCTGGGGTATAACGACTTGATAGCACCCGCCACCCCAAAACTCACCAATCCTTGGCGACTTTCTCTGCATGTTCGCTGCGTTTAGTCTTAGTAGCGGATGCAGCGTCACTGGTGTTGGCCAGTCCCATTACGTTGGCCTGCTGTGCGGGGACATTGCCTCGAATGCCTTGCCCTGTTTGAGCAGTGTTACCATTGCTGACTGCGCTTGCAGTGGAGGCTTTGTGCTGGGTCACATGGGTGCGATGCTCACCCGGCGAGTCTTGTACCGTGACCTGGGTAGGTGATGTAATCGGAGGAAGGGTGACGGCTTGTCTGGACGTGTGAGCTTGGCTTGGGACCGATTGCTTTTCTTTGGCTTTCGGAGTCGGCAACGCCTCTCGTCTGGAGCAAATACCAAACCAAACATGCATATACACACATGCGCGCACACGTGCACACACGTGCACACACACACACACATACACACACAAACACACACAAACACATACACACACACACACAAACAAACACACATACACAAACAAACAAACACATACACAAAACACACACACACACACATACTCGCACTACTGTAATACGCAGCAACACAAATTCTGTTGGTCCTTAGAATGTTCATCTTGTCACAAACGATCCGCACTGAGATCAAAACTCTCCAGAATACTGGTTTTCAAAACCAATGTGCTAATGCACAAGTTTTGTGCAAACGCCGCAGTGTTCGAACACGTCCAGGAAAATGAAAACAGGAAAAGATTGACTGTGCCCCGACCTCCCCTCTCTCATTTCATTAACCTAAACCAACCGAGGACAAGAAGGGTTGCCGGCTTACAGGGGAAGAGGCGTCAGGGCTTCTAGCTCACGAGCGTCAAAGTCAAACTTGAGTGAATCCTGCAAAGGCAGAGGACAAATGCACAAACACACTCTGAGCTTAGAGTCATACCAACTGCAGGCACTGAGAACTGCGTGAATCTGAATCTGTGCATGATTTTTCCCAATCTAGTGGAAAACTCTATTCCCGACACAGGGACCTTCAAGTGGGATAGCCACTCAAGTATATAAGCAGTGTTGACACCTGTATGATACCAGTTCGATTATGACATTCTTGATCTAGGCCGCACCTGCGTGTTATAGTGTAGTGATCAATTTTCAACAGTTTCCTCAGACACTAAAATGCTACAACGTTTAGAAGAAGGACCCATTTCAGGTTCCCCTTAGTACACACGTCGTGTTTCCAATCTATGCAAGGAGTTCTAGCTTCCATCGGAGCCATGAATCCAAGCTACTTCCAAGCGTCCGTTGACGGTATGTGACCTTAGCTCCAGGTTTTCTCCACACCTTGAGAACATGTTCAGTCACATGCATGTGTTGACAGATTGCTGGACAAATTCCAGGGCACATTGGTCCGAGATTCTGGAATGCAAGCATTACAAATTTAAAAAAATCATGTCAGGGCCACTCACGTCGCCCATTTTATAGAATTCAGAATGCAGTCACAATACAGGACAGGCAGAAGGATTTTTTGATTGGTCCACTCATACCCTAGCCTTCCATACCTTGTCACGGTATGGCGTGGAGGGTATGATCTCTGAGCAGTAAAAACACGCTGGCGGCCAAAAGGTTGGTCCAGCTATGGCCAGTTAAACCGGACGTCAGGCGAAATAGCACGTCATAGTACATTCGAGATCAGCGGGAAGAAGATGACGACGTCCACTAATTTAGTATCTGTGCACACGATTCTGCTGTGTGTGTTACTCTGTGTGTCAGCTATGGCATCATCGCCTGTGGTTCCATGCCTAGCATGTACGTCTGAACCATCCTACAAAGTTTGAATGACGTAGGTTGAGCGATCGCTCCGCGAAACATACTTTTTGAAATTCTCTTCATAGTATATCTTCCACCATTGAAATTTCGAATTTCTTCGAATTTTTTGCTGAGAGGGGTGGCTTGCAACCTCGATATGGCTTGTTCCCGGCATGCTTTGGAGCCATCGCCTGTTGAAACAGTGGCGGGAAGCTGCCCTGCAACTGTTCCAGCAGGAAATTAATCGATCCGAGAAAGCGCGAGTCCGCGAATCTCGGTTGAATATTGAGTATTTCAAGCCTTTTCACGACGAAGATGGAGTTCTTTTTGGAGATGGACGTCGCGACAAAAGACATGGTGTCCGACTTCTGGCGTCTGGTGAAGCCAGGGATCATTTGTCCAGTCAGGTCGGCAGCCTAACCGTCGGTAAGCTTGTGTTTGGATCCCGTTCTGCTCGATGTGGTAGATCACAAACAATTTGATATCGCACAAATTGATCTCAGCATCAAGCGTACGGTATTTTATATTCAGAAAATCCCAAAGTGTCTCTGTGTGGCCGTCCTATGCCACGAGAAACTCCAATCAGGCTCCTATGTCCTCTGCCTTCATGATTGAATGTCCACTTCGTTTGAACAACGAACACAACAATCGAGGACGGCTTTGCAATGAAAAATACAGCTATACTAGAGCTGAAAAAAAGAAGAAAAAACGGGCTCAGGATGAGACTCGAGTACACGCATACTCTCCCAGCAGGTGAAACGCAAATTTTTGTGAAAAATGCGTGACGCCGACTGACCAGTAATTTCGCCTGACGGAACAGTTCCACCGGGCCTGGAATACAGAACATTGACTAATCTCACCTCATCATAATCAAAGTCAATAAGATCGATGTCCTGATCATAATCAAAATCGTCCTCATCGTCTTCACCATCCTGTCCAGCCACTCCGCTGGGTATTATCTGCGCGGCACACAGCGCTCTGTAGAGGCGTGTGCGCAGTAGATATCCACGCACCAACGCCTGGCAAGAGAACACCGGAGTAGGTACAAGTATGCACACCAATCACGATGTATACATATGCACAAGAGCATAATCACAACCTGGCACATGTACACACACAAACACACACACACACACACACACACACACACACACACACACACACACACACACACACACACATATACCAACTCGGAAACACACATTCACATATAAATGTACACACATGCACGCAAGCAGGCGCGCGCACACACACACACACACACACACACACATACACACACGAGCACTTGCCTAACTGAACAACAAATCTCAAACCTCAGTCAACATAATCAATCCATTCCAGTCTGCAACAACAAAGCCATCATAGGCTAACATTTCTCAACAAAATTGCCATAAACACAGTGCCAAGACGAACAGATATGCAGTAAGGTTAGACACCCTGAACATTCCCGTATGCCCTGCCTACTGCAATTCATAGGTAGCTCTCAGTGGAAATGAGGGCATAGATTTTGGTACGAAGAGAATTTTCATTTCTCTACCGTGGTTGTGCTTATTTGCAAGGTCGTACTGTACTGCCGGGCGCCGAAGAACGGATCGCCGAAAAACGACCAGGCTAGATGTTCACCAAGCACAGCATATCAATGTATACACGGTGACTCAACCGTGCATGGACTGTAACACATGAAAATAAGAACGGTCTAGGCTAGGAGGCTGACCCCCCCCCCCCCCCCCCCCGTAGTTCTTCGGCGACCGACAGCACTGTGAGGAGCTACATTATGACTCACTTGAAGCATGGTGGCTGCTTGATTTTCTCTGCAAAGGCGCAGCTCCAGTTGTCGCTTCTCTTCTACTTGTCTCTTGAGCCGCTCCTGTCTCTCTTTCTCTTCCTGTCGACGTTTGCACTCTTCTTCGGCCTGTCGACGTCGTTCTTCTTCCTCTCGCAGTCGCTTCAGCTCAAGTTGATCGGCCACTCGCTGTCTCTCGGCCTCCTCGGCTTGTTTCTTCCTCTCTTCTTCCTGTCGGCGTTGCCGTGTCTCTGCTTCAATCCTCTCCCTCTCACGCTTCTCTTCAGCTTCCTTCGCCAGCCGCTGTCTTTCAGCTTCCTGCGCCATGCGCCGCTTTTCCATTTCAAGTCTTTGTCTCTCTCTTTCAAGGTCAAGACGATGGATTTCTTCAGCGATGCGTTTCTCTTCCTCTATCTTACGTTGCCGTTCGGCCTCCTTTTCTGCTGCAATCCGCAGCCGCTCTTCTTCTTCTTCTTCCTTGCGCCGCCTTTCTTGTTCCTCTTGCTGCCTCTTCTGTTCAGCACGACGTTGCCTTTCCGCCTCTTCTCGCTTCCGTCTCTCCTCTTCCAACTGTTTCTGTCGTTCTTGCTCTGCTTGTCGTTGTCTCTCCTGCTCGGCTGCTAGTCTCTGCTGCTCTTCCAGGATGCGTTGCTCCTCCGCCCTGCGCTCCTCTTCGACACGTCGCCTTGCCAAGTTATCCTGGATCACTGGTCTCCATTGCTTGCGACACCTGTGCGGTTAAGAACCACAGACAGGCATGCACACATGTGCCCATCCACGCATGCACACACATACACAACACACACCCAGAAACACACACACATACACACACACAAACACACACGCATACGCACACATACACAACACACACCCAGAAACACACACACACATGAACCGTCAGGCGAAATAGGACGCCATAGTACATTTGAGATCAGCGGGAAGAAGATAACGACGTCCACTAATTTAGTATCTGTGCACACGAATCTGCTGTGTGTGTGTGACTCTGTGTGTCAGCTATGACATCAACTCCTGTGGTTCCATGCCTAGCATGTACGTCTGAACCATCCTGTAAAGTTTGAATGACGTAGGTTGAGCGATCGCTCCGTGAAACATACTTTTTGAAATTCTCTTCATAGTATATTTTCCACCATTGAAATTTCGAATTTCTTGCTGAGAGGGGTGGCTTGCAACCTCGATATGGCTTGTTCCAGGCATGCTTTGGAGCCATCCCCTGTTGAAGTAGTGGCGGGGATCTGCCCTGCAACTGCTACAACAAAAAATGATTCGATCTGAGAAAGGGTGAGACCGCGAATCTCTGTTGAATATTGAGTATTTCAAGCCTTTTCGAGACGAAGATGGAGTTCTTTTTGGAGTTGGACGTCGCGGCAAAGGACATGGTGTCCAACTTCTGGCGTCTGGTGAAGCCAGGAATCATTTGTTCAGTCAGGTCGGCAGCCTAACCGTCGGTAAGCTTGTGTTTGGATCCAGTTCTGCTTGATGTGGTAGATCACAAACAATTTGATATCGCACAAATTGATCTCAGCATCGTGCGTATGGTATTTTATATTCAGAAAATCCCAAAGTGTCTCTGTGTGGCCGTCCCATGCCACGAGAAACTCCAATCAGGCTCCTTTCCAACGAACACAATAATCGAGGACGGCTTTGCAATGAAAAATACAGATATACTGGAGCTGAAAAAAGAAGAAAAAAACGTGCTCAGGATGAGACTCGAGTACACGCATACTCTCCCAGCAGGTGAAATGCAAATTTTTGTGAAAAATGCGTGTCGCCGACTGACCAGTAATTTCGCCTGACGACACACAAACACACACAATATTGAGCAGTGTTGGGATACACATTACAAAGTATCAATACATGCATTACACAGAAACGTTCGGTACACACACACACACACACACACACACACACACACACGCACGCACGCACCCACCCACACACACACACACTGTCCAGTGAAGGCACAAGCAGTTTAAAACAGCTTACCTATAACCTCTGTAGTAAGCCTGTAATCGAATGCAACTGGCTTCACGACGCCTTGCCTCGCAGTCTCTTAGCATGGCCTGGAATATGATAGTACAATGTAGACATGAACGGATTATCATGCACACACACACACACACACACACACACACACACGTACACACACACGTACACACACACACACACGGACACATACACATACGTGCACACACACGGCGCATGCACGTACCGAAACACACACACACCAACACATGCCCACGTCCACACGCACGAACATACGCCCACAAGTTAGCTCCAACACACTGCTCTCTGCACGGGGAGCACTGACGAGCAAAGTGAGAGGCTATGGATGGAGAGATCAAAGGGGTCGGTCAGATAGTCACTGCCAAAGCAACAGTCCCAGGAACAGAGACTGAGAGCCCATAGGAGCTGGAAACAGAATTGGCCAGAATTATTTACTTTGCAACAGTAAATGAGTGGTGTGAAAGTGGAGGGGGATGGGTGAACAAATGGGAAACTGTCCAACGCATAGCGTGATCAGACACAAATTAGAACAAAACAGAGAATCAGTACATTGGCATGAAAAGGCCATGAAACTGCAAGTTTTCTTGTGCCATCATGTCTGGTCGGCATGGCTGCCGTGACGTACACAAGACAAACTCCCGACCAAGAAGTATACTGCAAAGTGACATACCAGCAACTGCTCACTCTCTTCTCTTTCTCTATCCAGCTCTGCCTGCACTTGGAGAAACCGCTCCCTATCCTGAAAGTATCCCAGCAAAGACAATAAAACCACGTTCCAGATAATTCAAAGGAAAACAATTGGAGGCGTATCCAATTTCAAAAGAAGTGTCAGCACCAACCCAATCCACACAGTCATTTGGCTTTACTTGACTGTGCGGGTTGAGTTGGTGCAGATACTACTTGCGAAAACGTTCCAGATAGATAACTTTAAGGGGAAGTTAAGGCAAAAATTGAAATTTCACCAGTTGTAGTCTTCGGGGTGCTGAGTCGAATGGTCGTGGTCCGAGGAAGCTGAGACGCTCCCTTCCTACTTGAATCCCAATCGAACTCGCGCACTTCCACCGAAACTAGGTGACTGCGCCCTACTAGATGGGGATTTGTATGCAAAATGTCACTAAAAGCGCCATTTCGTTCTTATAAAAGCACGGATGACCGCGATTGGCCCATATGTTGTAGTCTTTAGGACGCTGGGTCGACTGGTTTTGGTCCGAAAAGGCTGCGATGCAGTGTTCCTCCTATATTCCCAATTGAACATGGTTGAACAAGCGGTCACGTGCTCCTGCGTACGCCAGTCACCTGGTCACCGTGCCTGCAGGGTACAACTTACTAGCCTGTTTGACCTTTTTTGGGTGCAGTCCTGTCACTCGAGTTGAACTCGAGTTGAACCTTGGTGTGAAAGTTGTCGCCTGCTGGTGTGGTGACCAGGTGATTTGGGCACCCAGGAGCACGTGACCGCTTGTTCAACCATGTTCGATTGGGAATAAAGGAGGAACGCTGCATCGCAGCCTTTTCGGACCAAAACCAGTCGACTCAGCGTCCAAAAGACTACAACATATGGGCCAATCGCGGTCATCCGTGTTTTATAAGAACGAAATGGCGCTTTTAGTGACATTTTGCATAAAAATCCCTATCTAGTAGGGCGCAGTCACCCAGTTTCGGTGGAAGTGCGCGAGTTCGATTGGAATTCAAGTAGGAAGGGAGCGTCTCAGCTTTCTCGGACCAAGACCATTCGACTCAGCACCCCGAAGACTACAACTGGTGAAATTTTAATTTTTGCCTTAACTTCCCCTTTAAACACGAGACCGGGTCGTGATTTACGAACAACCCATACATACCTTTCCTGTGACGACGAACAATTGGCGTATTATGAGTGATGGTCATAGACCCACTAAGGGATGCAAGGGTCTAAGGACATGCATGGTGAATACTGCCACTGAATAGATAACCCAGCGCGGAGCAATTATCATTGGTGCACGAACGGTAATGCCGTCTTTCCCGGGGTGCATAATCTCAATGTGGGTTGAAATGGTGTCTAAGACTGCAGGTCTTGAGAAGGTCTTATCGCTTACTGTAGTAGTCACTCATGAGTCATGGAACATTCTGTATCGTGCAGAGCAGTACAAAAGTACTGGATCAATCGTTTTCTATGTTCTCAAGATCATACTGATCAAATCAGATGGTCTTATGTCCAATTTAGATAGAATACAGGCCCAGTCGCATGGCCTACCTCTTCAGCTAGCAAGTCCTGCTCATGCTCAGCAGCACCCGGTGTTTGATGGTCAACAGTTGGCAAGTTGAGCTGCCGTTCCATCTCTTCCAGCTGAAGTTGAAGCACAGAGTTAACAAACGGACACTGCGATACACTCGACAGTCTCTGTCACTCAATGGACATGTAACTTGTTTATCACAAGCCCTTGAACTGACAATGCACAACTTTAAAAATGGGAACTCGAATTTTTTTCAGAACCTGACTTCAAGCTGAGCAAACACTGACCTTGAACAATTTACTATGAGATAATCAGACTGAATGTGCAGTGCGAGTAGAAGCACTGCTGACTAGGGTTGGTATGCAGCTTTATCCTTGCACCACACGGGCAATGTGATGTACAACACCAATACTCTACGTGTACGCTTCCAAAACACCAATACGGCCGCTGCACAGGACGCACCTCCTTATCACGCTGCTTCAGCTGCATTTCAAACGCAAGCAGCTCCGACGGAGGCGAGGGTGATGATGGTATTGACTCCGCTGGTTCTTGCCCGCCTGCTTCAGCACTACAGCAACCGTGGCCACCCTCCCCGACATGATCCGCGGCCTGATGTGGTGCTTTGCGGGTGCCACCTTCCTCGCAGTCATCTGAGCACGTTGTATCAGCATCTTGATTTTGATCTTGACAGGCGATGGTTGTATTGCCCCCGGCTGTTTTCAGTTCAGGAGCTATGAAAAGTAGGGAGGGAGGAGGGAGGCAACAAGAAAAAGGGGATGAGACAACAACAGTGAAGAGTATCAGAGACAATTATAGCAATAAAAACTGCTTTATGGCAGTTTTCTAAAAAAAGTTATTGTGTTCTAGTCCATGGACCCCGTCTAAAAAGTAAGAAATTACCGAAATGTGATAGCTGAAAATTAAAATTTCACACAAAACCTCACAATAATCACAACACTTGAAATGCTGCTTTCAACTTTAACTTGTACTGCACCAACAATTGGCAACATGCATGCATAGGAGAAAGGATCACGAGGGGAAAAGGTCTTCTACATGTAGCTTTTAATTCTGTGTGTGATTATTGTGAGGTTTTGTGTGAAATTTTAATTTTCAGCTATCACATTTCGGTAATTTCTTACTTTTTAGACGGGGTCCATGGACTAGAACACAATAACTTTTTTTAGAAAACTGCCATAAAGCAGTTTTTATTGCTATAATTTCTTTTGTTTTTTCTGGCACCAATCAATGGAATGCCCTACATGTACAGTATATCAATATGTAAATGATGGCCTTCACATCATATCAAGAGGTTTATGTACTCTTGATCATATCAATACCGTATTATACGCATTGATATGCAAGCCTTTTCTTGCAGAAAATGGCACTAGGATAATGCATGTTCTTCTGTTGGGGAACATGTGAGCAGTGGTGGTTATACTTTTTTAGACGCAGGTCATTCTGTGCATGTTGCTGTTGCAGAATTTCATGACTCTGTCATAAATTTGTCTTGCCTTTCAGATATTTCAGATTTCCCCACCCTCTATCAGATTTATTTGAGAAATGTAGCCATGCGCCAGGTGCGTGTCGCAGATGTTTTTGTTGATTCTGTGTTTATAATGGTTTATAATCATGGGTTATCGTGATAAGGTCATCCAGCATCATATTGCACTGAAATCGTTATCCTGTTGATGTCAATACAACTTTTGGAAGTAGTTCAATGACTTCAAACTGTTAGTCCCCGATTTTCTGAAACAACACAGCAAAGGAGGAACAATAAACATCTATTAAAATGTAAACAAATACATTGTTGAGTCCGACACCTCGTTCCAACAACTACACTGATCCTGAGGATAAAAGGGTCAAGGCTATGGTTGGAGGTACTGATACTGAGAGATAAACAAGGCACTCCATGATAATAAAAGCTTACACATCTTTTGGTGAGTATGAATGATATCCAGTTGAACCTCTTTAGGACGAACACCAAGGGACCAATGGTATTTATGCTGTGAGTTTGTCTTAACTTATTTTATAACCAGTGAATACAATTATTTCTCCAATAGACACACGAATAGATTTCTTCTACAGCGAAAGATTCTAAGCCACACCGACTCATTGACTCGTCTCGTATATGAAACAAAAGAGTCACTAGAGAGGTTCTGCAAAACGAAAATGCGTACAAACTTTCGCTCTACATCATGAAGTGCGAAACTTCGCACGAACTTTCGCAACTGTGGAAGCGAAACTTGCAGGGAACGCGAAATGAACTGTCGTAGGAAATTTCGTGAGATCGGGTCATGGCGTACGTGCACTTGGCCCGCACAAACTATGAAAATGTGCAGAACGCAAAGTTCGTGCAAAAATTCGTACACACTTTCGCAAGGACTGTGGCGAAACTTCGTTCGAATTTTCGTTTTGCAGAACCTCTCTACTGAACCTTTCTTCAGCAACATGACGGCAACTGAAACAGCAACAGAGAAAGTACGATACATGTACTGCAAATTCTTGCAAGTACTACAGGTACTAGAAACAGATTGCAGATCGTAATTCTTGCTTTGGCGGCACGAAACTTTATTTGGGGCAGTGCAATCTCGGCGGTACTCACAAATCAAACAGCCCAGACTCGAGTAAACAAATCCAATCCTACAAGTACGAGATTTTCATGAGACGAGACTGCACCCATTGGCTTGTTTCGTATGAAGCAAACAAGTTACTGAACCTCTCCACAATGGAGATTTTCCCTGATATGCGAATTTATTTGGCAAACTCGGTCAATGAGTCCTTGAACCTTTCCCTCCAGATTGGGAACTGCCAACGATAGTATGCCACTGACCAGTGCCTTACTTGTAACGTACTAATGTGCAATGAATATGAGTATTTCGACAACACATCTAACATAAGCCTTGCCGTCAAGAAGGTGAACTCGCGTTCTTCGCACACTGTAGGCAAGGGCAAAGAGATAAAAATGGATCTAAATCCGAATAAAATCAGCACACGTTTCCGTAAATGAAAGGGTGAGCATAAGCAAATGAGTCGAAGGAAACTGGTCAACTCAGAGATCACCTGTCATTGAGTATTCCGTAAAAGGAGGCCTCGGCAGCGGAAAAGCTAAATTTAGAAAGGAGATCCTGTCAGCTTTTCCATTATTTATTGCATTCCGCCCAAAATCAGCACACTTTTCGTAAATGAAAGAGTCAACACGAGCAAATGAATCAAAGGGAACTGGTCAACTCACCTGTCATTGAGTAATATTCCGCGAAAGGAGGTCTCAGCAGCGCCGAAACGAAATAAGTCAGGCCAGGAGACGAAATATCCGAAACAGCTCATGCAAGAAGCAGTTCCAAAGAAGGAAGTTCCTCGTGCATGCACATCCGAAAAGGCAACAACAAAAAGTCTACAATGCACACGCATGCGGCCAGCCGGCCGCGCGATGGTACGAGGAGCCATGGAGTAGCTCCCTGGTCCAGGACCAGGTACCGGTACCGAGCATCTTACGTAGAAACTTACGTAGCTACGTAGACAACGTGTCTGAATAGCGGTGTCGTTAGGTAGCGCCATGTGAACACAATAATAGAAAAGCTGACAGGATCGCTTTTCTAAATAATGCACGCAAAAGAAGAGAATGGTGTTGGCGAGAGAGAGAGAGAGAGAGAGAGAGAGAGAGAGAGAGAGAGAGAGAGAGAGAGAGAGAGAGAGAGAGAGAGAGAGAGAGAGAGAGAGAGAGAGAGAGAGGAGAGAGAGAGAGAGAGAGAGAGAGAGAGAGCGAGAGAGAGAGAGCGAGCGAGAGAGCGAGCGAGAGAGCGAGCGAGAGAGCGAGCGAGAGAGCGAGCGAGAGAGCGAGGGCGAGAGAGAGAGAGAGAGAGAGAGAGAGAGAGAGAGAGAGAGAGAGAGAGAGAGAGAGAGAGAGAGAGAGAGAGAGAGAGCGCATGTGTGTATGTGTGTGTGTGCGCGTGCGCGTGTGTGTGCGAGTTTAAGAGAGAGAGAAAGAGAGAGAGAGAGAGAGAGAGAGAGAGAGAGAGAGAGAGAGAGAGAGACGGAGAAAACAACCCATTGTATTTCAGCCAGGAGAACAGTGTGGCGTGATAACACATGAGTTTTTTTCACTGTCTGCGAGACCAGCATCTGGCTCTAATCCTTTCCTAAGACATCTGCTAAGTCCGCAACACCACTTCAGGTCACTGATATAGTCCTGCATGCACATAGCCTTCGTATCAAGAATACTCCCATGTACACACAGTACTGTTGGCTGCCGAAGAACTGGGGGTCAGCCGAGTAGCCTAGACCAGTCCTATTTTCAGGTACTACAGTCAGACCTCGCTTATCCGGTCCTCGTTTATCCGGCTCCCTCGCCATCCGGTAGAACATCGTTGGTCACCAATTTTGAGCATATGCCATGCGCACATACAGTATGTGTGTTCGATTATCCGAGTCCCTCGTCTATCCGGATATTTGCTTTCTGGAAAACGGACGTGTGCGGTTAAGCGAGGTCTGACTGTACTACCGTCACCAGTTGAGCCACGGTGTATACACTGGTATACTGTGCTCGGTAAAAAATTAGGGTGCTCGTTCTTCGGCCCCCCGCCTCTGCTGTACTGTATCCCTTGTATAGACAGCACAATCTAGCCTTCCACCTGCTGTTTGCTCCACTTCCTCATTGTCCATATTCCGTCATGATACCAGTATCTTAGACTGGTTAGGGTATTGTAAAACCGTAAAGTCTAACGAGTCACAAAGTCTAACGTTTTAACGACCAATGTTTTTCGTTATTTGAAGAAACGTTATCGCGAGATGTCTGTGTAAAGATGTGCATACGGATGGGTGGCCAGGTAGCCATCGTTAAACTTTCTGCACGTTATCATGCCAACATTACAAAAAACGTTGAACTTTCCGGGTTTACAGTACCCCGTCAGAAGGCAAACCGCATGTGGGGCCCAAGTAAAACATGAATTATTAATAAAGGTGGTGACAGTCAATTTTTTCTTCAGACTTTTCCCGTTTGTGTCTTTCCCTCAAACTAGTCAAAATTATTAATAATAATCACAAATCAGACATATCAGTACCTGATGGAGTCGCCAATGAGGATGACGGTGTTGGGTCCGTGCATTGGTCCAGAAACTCCACGTACTCGTCCAGCCGCTCGTTTTGTTCTGCAAAACGCGTCTCCAGCAGCTGTAGATATGCTGCAGTGTCGGTGCTATTCGCTGCCTGCATGGATAGTACATAGAGTACAGTAACAAACCTTACAAAACATATAACGCATTACCAGTAACAAATCCGTTGATCACCAAACTGCAGAGAGTGCATATGGTGTCCTGTAGCACATTTGCGATATATAGGGTGTCCCGCGCCCCCCCCCCCCCCCCGTTGATCCGCCCCTGCCCTATGTGTCTTCTCTATGATATATGCAGGCCTGCCGTCACGAGCATACATATTGCTGAGGGCATTATTCCTAACTCAGGTGCATAGCTCGCACGGGGCACGGGGATCACGTGCACCCCCTAAAATTTGGACATAATGACCGTGAATGACATGCACCAGCCATCCTACACATATGCGGCCGCGCACCCCTCCTAAAAAGGAGACCCGCTGTATGCCCCTGCGACTTTACCGGCTGTATACTCACTTGACGGTATGCTATGCGAGTATGCTGAGCTACATGTACGCTAAGTGACACTTGTACATGTAATATCAAGGAACTACTGCAGATACAGTCAACTTGGCTTTGAACCACACACGGCGGGGCATCAAAAAGGTGTCCTTATTCGCGAAGTGTCGTTATACCCGAAGTCTCATTACAGTATTTATTACAGTGGGATGGGACTTTGCTCTGGGCATGGAAATTCTGTCGTTATTCGCGAATAGTCGCTATATGCGCAGTTGACTGTACTCGTATTCCAGTCAAGCAACACTGTACCGTCTGGTCCAAATATCTGTCCTATAGATGCCTGCTTAGTCCATCAACCTACATCCCATTTCAAGGTAGATCCTCGGTGTGGGTCTGAGTTTTTTGTTTTGGTTGTTGACTTACGTATTGAAAAACCTTGTTTTGAATTGAAGTCTTGCTAAACAAATCGAAATTATCCCACCCTCACATCGGCTTTTTGACACGACTTTACTGCACTCAAATTCTCAAAACCCATACATAGGAGAACATCTCAACCCATAATAATAATAATAATTACTTCTGAATGGGTACTTCTAGCGTCCTTCTCGTCATCATTTTCCCGATCGCTAGCGGTGTCCGAGGCACTCCTCGCTGGTCGTGGGATTTCATTCAGCACGTCGGCGTCTCCTTGGATCGACAGGAGAAGCTGCTCCTCACTGACGCCGTCCAGGGCTTCTAGTTCCGCAGCAAGTGCTTCATCCAGCCAGTTTTCATCCATCTCACAATGATGCTGCTGATATTATTATGTCGCGAGTCCCAATCCGTCTGTCTCATCAATCAGCTGCTTCCATTCACCCTCGGCTTGAAGTCAGCCCGAACCTCGACTGGCACACCATTGCTACACAAGGCGAGAATGAGACTGCCCCATTCGAGATCAAGGGCAACACGAACAACAATGTGTCGACTTCATTCTTTTTGCCAAAGAGGAACAACAAAATTTTAGTCAACAACCACAAAGACTAGTACATGTACTGCAATGACGAATAGTGACTCGTGACGTCTCAGACAGTCCAGTCCTTTTGAATCCACGACTTTTTGGCGGTGATTCGAGAGCAGTGCACTAGACTACACAGAATAATACTAGATCCGTGTAGTGCACTAGTACTAGTACTACTGTACTAGTGCCGTAGTGGTAGATCTACGAAAGTACGAGTATCGACCTACTCGATCGCCTGGAACTGTGGAAGTGGAACCTCTCGATCTCTGTTTACTCGATCGTAGAAATGGTACATCTGGTACATCTGGTAGACTGACATACTACTACCGGTAGTATTACTACTATACTAGTAACTAGGTCTAGGTAACCGTGGGTAACAGTGACAACATGCAGTGTCACCATGGTCACTGTAGACTGTATGTAGTGTATGACACTACATAAATCATTGTACTTTTTTTTAATTTGTAGTGTTGACTGTTGCCGTGTTGGCAGTCACCAGGGAGTCGTCAAATATAGACATGAACACGAAACTCACAAAAATACTCACGAAAATAACCTACAAGTAAGTGCTAAAGCCCGATTTGTGTAAGCAAAAAGAACATGTTTTAGCACTTAGGTTATTTTCGTGAGTTTGCACCCCGTGTTCATGAGTTGTTTCTGCCCTGTTCATGCCCATTTGTCACACTTACTCTTTATCTTAGTTCTCACTTTTTGTAATACTTACCACAAGTTACCCGTCATGTGTCACACTTCTTTGGATTTTTAACCTTTGTTTTTCCCTTGATCACTTTAGTTCCGTATTTCCACTGATGATCGGAGCTTGAAAATCGATTTTGGAAACACACAAAACCAAACCTTGAACAAATTGTCATGTTGCGTGGTGATGTCTGCGGCATTCATACTTTTCATAGCTACATTGTATTATTAAATTTTTTATTTTAGTATTTTTTTCGGCAACGCAGATGATGATGATGATGATGATGATGATGATGATGATGTTGTAGCCATGAGTTCGACCCCAATAGCTCACAGCGGGAGCTTCTGTCTCTGCCAACGAGATGTGGTGGTCTTGCTGTACCGATTCTGCCTTCCCTGGCGCCTGTGGAGTATGCGGCCTCAACAAAGATCACTGAGCCGTTCGTGCGCCTGATTGTACCGCCAGATACATTAACGCCTCCAGAAGAGGCACCTGCTGCTCCATACCAGTCCTCCACACAGCCTCTGACCGTTGCGGGCGCGGAACAGCCTCACAACGTTCGGGGCCATTCTCCCGGGTTGATTTTATCGTCATCTCTACCCGATGATTTCCGCCTACATCCTGTACCACGGCCGGGGATCACTACTAGCCTGGATGGCGCAGCCGGAGGCTCGGGCGCAGATGTTACCCTTGATGCCATCGGGGATGTTCGGCAGCGGGCACGTCAGTCACGTCAGCAGCGGCAAAAGAAACAGGATGAAAGAGTGGCACAGTTGCGCCCCATGCTACCGCCGGCGCAACAGCTTTTGTTGGAAACGGCTGGTGAGAAGGGTGTTTCAAATTGGTTATCCTCCATGCCGTCTTTCATAACGCCCAGTTCAATCCTGAACAAATCGGATTTTCGTGATGCTGTTTGTATTCGATATGGTTTGTCATTGGAGGGAGTGTCCAGTTCCTGTATTTGTGGGCAAGACATGACAATAGATCATGCCATGAGTTGCCCGGCGGGTGGTTACCCAATTGCAAGACATAACGAGATCCGGGACATTCTGTCAGAAGCTATTCGGGAAATACTACCAGATGTGGAGAAGGAGCCTCTTCTCAAGCCGTTCGAAGGAGAAACACTACCACATCGAACTGCGAACCGGTCTTTGGAGGCGCGTCTGGATATCAGGGCGCGGGGCTTCTGGACCCGGCAGCAGGATGCCTTTTTTGATGTACGGGTAACACACCCGAAGGCAAGCCTGCTGTCGCGTACAGACGTCCTGCGTCAGCTGAAGACCCATGAACAGGCCAAAAAGAGAGAATATTGTGCCCGTGTAAATATTGTAGAGAGAGCATCATTTACACCGTTAGTTTTTTCAACTTCAGGCATGTGTGGGCCAGAGGGGTCTCGTTTTTTGAAAAATTTGGTATCGCTTGTTGTTGAGAAAAATCCTGAGTTACATTATTCTGTAGTCATGGGACAACTTCGATCTGTATTGTCGCTGTGTTTGCTCCGCTGGTGTATTACCTGCATACGTGGTTCGCGGGCATCATACAAGCGCCAGCGCCACAGCTTTTTAACAAGCTGCCATACCCTTAGAGCACGTTGATGTGTACGGGTGTCTTATGTTTGTTCTTTTATTTTCCATTATGAGCCGGTCTTCTCCGATTGGTGGCCCCATGCCCCATGGGGACACTGGACAGTAGAACGGAAAGCGCGTTCGTGGGGATACTGGATAGTGCAGCAAACTTTCCAGAAGTTGACCTATGAAGGTGCCAAATTCACAGTCTGTGTACAATACGCCCCTCAACATACCTGTAGTCCTGGGTTTCGCACCGGGTATGCCTATGCTCCATTTTTCTCATTTAGGAAACTTCACTTCTCCGGCAATTCCAAACTCCAAAAAAGGTCTCTTCAGTCTTCACTGCCTTTTTGGAGTTTGGAGTTGAGAAGTGAAGTCTCCCAAATGTGTAAGTGGCTGCGTTGGAGTTTGCGGACAATTAGAATAGTTCCATTCTCTCAATGCAATTTTTTGGAAATAACAGCCATAATGACATCGTGTGGTTTGAAGAAGTGGAAAGCTGAGCGATTGCGATGTTCCGCACCATCTTTGCCGGGCCAAGTTTTGGTAATAAAAAGACGGTCAGAACCGAATCCGAAGAACGCAAGGCAACAATACGGAGGTTTAGCATCACGAATTTCGCGTTCGAGTTCGCGAACATTTTTCAGTTCGCGAACTGGATTGCGAACCTTCGGATTTTTCGTTCGGAAAAGTAGTCGAAACACGAATCGCGGTTTCTTGTCAGGACAGTCATAAAATTAATAAATAATTACTACGCTGTACTGTCAACGTCACGCATGTGTGTTTGCTAATCCTTCTCATAACGCGAATTCCGTCACTGAGTTCGACGTTCCTTGGAGTGCGAACACAAACCCGAATTTCGTCTTACTAAACCCTCGTTATACCAGTACTAATGCCTATTGCCAGTATTGGTACTAGTACTAGTCAGTAGAGCCCATAATTATGTATCTAATATTGACTGAGTACGAGGTCAATATAGGAAATAAAAGCCGAGTAAAAGACCGAGGCGAAAGACCGAGGCGAAGCCGAGGTCTTTTACGAGGTCTTTTATTTTCTATACTGACCAAGTACGAAGTCAATATTAGATTTATCACGACTAGCCAAAGCCTGTGTTCAATCGCTAAAAAGGAGTCAAATATAAGCGGTATTTTAGGGTGGTATGGTCAGTAATCTGAAGTACAATGGGGGGGGGGGGCACCCTGCAGAAGTACTTCGAAATTTAGAGCCCAAATCAGACACACTGAGCCTCTCTTACGGGCAAAATTAACACAATGGAGCCAAGATCAGTGCATTTTCTTATTTTACGGTTGCCTGGGGACAAAATACACATGGTTTGCATTATACCGTTTACGCTAAATCCAACAGTACTCGTACCTAGCACCCAAAATACCGTCGGTTTAGCATCGTTTCGACGATGGAAAGCTTTGTTTAGCGGGAGAATGAAACAGTAAGATTTCAACTAGGGTGGCGTGACAAGACGATCGTTGGCTCAGAAGTCAGAAACCGAAATGCTAATCATGTCTTGAAACTCACAACAAACGGTACAGGCGGACGGTCTAAGTTAGCATAAATGGTAAAATGCTAACCTTGTCTAATATTGGGACGGTCGAAAACTTAGTTACCGAAGCATGTCCGACACCCCTGCAGCGCACGTTCGCATGCAGATTGCTGAGTACTGCCGTACATAGATCGCCAAACAACAAGATAAAATTCTTCAATCAAAGCATGCTCAGGCAGGGTTCTAGCCGGGTCAAAGTAGTAAGGGAGGTGGGGGGCAGGGAAAATAGTGACCCCCTAATCCATCTTTAAAAATAACTGTCCTGCAATGCGAAATGCAACGTACGGGGCGAACACCTGACTTCACCCCAGACAAATGTGCCTTTAAGAACCCTCTAGTACTGACTGGTTTTCGTTGAATGGCATGAAAAAGCACAAAAATCAGAAAACGAGTAGGGGGCAGCAATTTTTCATAGGGGAGGGCGCTGCGCCCCATCCCTCTCGCTAGAACCCTGCACTGTGCAATGAATTTTGTAGCCTTCGAGTGTCCTAAAGTTCGCGTCCATCTCATCAGAAGAACCAGGGACTAGTCACATTTTGTTTATACACACCGGTATGTTACTATTCTGTATTCCTGCATGGACATAGTTACTTTCCAGAGCACACACAGACTTTTCCACACGAATAGCTGCACCGTACTGATGGAAACAGACTTCGTTTGCTATAACTGAGATATTGGAAATATGATAAAGGATAGTGATAAATCAGCTGCAATCGTATACGCTCACAGGAAACACCAGGTTAGTCACCACGCACTAATACCACGCACTAATACCGCGCTTTGACCACCATGTTGAGCCACTTCCCAAATATATTTCCTTGGAAAAACTCGACTAAAATTCAAGTAGATAAATAGGAGAGCAAGAGGTTGCAATGAGGCAGTATTGTATAGTCCAGGCAAGGGGAGATATGATTTCTGTAAAATAAAACTATATGGAAAAAGGCTTGGGGAAGTCTATGAGAAATAGGTCAAGATCGGATAGGCATGAGGTGCTGTACCTGGTCTCATCGAAGTAAACTAAGCACGCACTTGAACATGCATAAGCATGCATGAGCACACACACACACACATACACACACACACACACACACACACACACACCATATATCATACCATATACGCTCGTCGTAAGAGAAGCACGCAAATCAGAAAAATGCACTGGACACACACATACACACGCACAAATCCTGTCAGCAAAACACTGCAGCATCAACACATTTTCTAGTGCAGCATCGCCAAGCTCTCCATATCAATGCCGTCTCGCTCAAAGCGCGACACCTTGGCCAACACCTCAGCCAGGGCTAGGTCATCCATGTCGTTAGCTTGATACATGGACACTCCGTCAATGGACGCCTGCTTACGCATGCCTCCTGCCAGCTGCACTCCGTTGAACTTGACGCGTACGGACTCGCGCATGGTCCTACGTGTCAGAGTGTCCGGAACCCACGTAGCAAAGATGACCTTGTTGCGCTTTCCGCCGTTAGTTGTCGTGTACGGTAGGTTGACGATAGCCCAGCGGATGTCCTGATTCAGCCCGACAAAGTGAGCCAGCAGCTTTGCCCACAGTCCACCATCACCATTGTTCTCCTCCCAGTCGATGCTGGTCTCCGGCACGATCTCCGACTCGTCCTCCGTCAGGCGGAACACGGTGGCAAAGTGTTTGGCGTTCGTCACCGCCTTCATGCTCGTCCACACGTCATCGTGCACCACTGGGTCCTTCTGCAACTCCACGGCTGTGACACGTGCACCGTTCTTGTTCTCCATACTGACCGAGATATTATAGTTTTATTTTTTGTTGGAACTAGGAAGCAGGATTTTTCTACCAAATCAACACTATTTCAATGATGCTGTGAAAACTAGTGAAATACAGGCTCTCGGTAGTATACCACTGAATGAATTGAAATTGAAGATTAATTGGGCGGTAGTCCAAGCGATTAGTTTACAAGTTAGTTCTTGCTTGGCTATCTGACTTGAATCTTCTCTTCTTTCTTTTCTGCTGCGTCTCTGACTGGAAGCATTGCTCTGTGCGAGCTTATATCGTGCCGGTGCGTTCGCTGACGCGATACATCGTGTCGTAATCCAGGTCGTTTTAATTACGCGCTTCTGCCCACGCGCGCGCTGCCACAATTCTAACACGACCATATTGGGCCAGGTCGATGGCCCACAACGTATCAGTTTTGCTGCTCTGGCAAAGCTCACATCAATAAGAGAGAACAGAACAATAGCGCGTCCGCATCACCTTCCGAGAACTATCGTCAGTATTGGCAAATGTCGAAACTGTGAGTGTGAAATGAACCCACGTAGAGTCTACGTCTCTGTGTGAAAAAAGTAATCATCGACGATTCCAATTTCTTACGTCATGATGATGTAATGGGGTCGGCGAGTGTGACGTCTGAGGTGTGATTTTTCGAGTAAATCACGGAAATCCAACAAATCATTCATATCAAACTCCTGGTGCGAGTGAGACTCGCGTCCAGTACAACGGCCATATGGACTGGATTCGTTCTGCTAGACACCATCGGGAAGCTTGGATCATGCGGGTCAGATTCTGAATCAGTACGACAGTAGTATTGACCAAAAAGTGTAACACTAACAGTTACTACTTAGTACTAACGTGTTACTTGGTGCGAGTATGATCACAATTATAGAAAGGAATGTCTGCACTATCGAACCATCCAATAGGCCACGTTGATTTCCAGTCAAAAAGACCAATTGCGTGGAGTACATGTACATGTATATCTACATCGAAACCTCAACAAAGTTAATTTAACGGTCAATTGTAGGCCTCGACCAAATATGCTTGCGCATATTTCCGCATATTTTGAGAGACAGTTCATATACATGTACATGTACATGTATGGCATATTGAGCGACAAAGGGAATATTGGAATGAAGCCAGCATATAATTCGAATATTCTGAAGAAAATGAGGACAAAACATTCATATTATGGACCAAATGCATTCAGAAATGCCTTTTATGGATGAATTTGGAATGGTTGAGGCGTTTGCTACATTTCCCCATGGATGAACACTATCGCTACGGTTGCTGGGGACACACCCCAGCCATACTATTCCGCATGTGTTTGAAGCATGATAGCCGTGAAGCCAATGAATATTCCAAGGTTGCAATTTTACTGAAATGATCTACACTTTCTGCTCATGTCAAGCATAATTTGGCATATTTTGGCATATCTTTTTTGCATATCTTGCTAGGCCTTTGGCATATTATGGCCGTTTTCCCTGATATGCGACGAGCATAATAATAATTATTATGCTCTTTTTTCTAGCATTTTGGTCGAGGCCTAGTAAATTGGCAAGAATGCGTAAAAATAGGACAAGGTGTTCAGAAGGTATTCGAGGGCAAGTGGTATGCAGCTTTTACAGACGTCGATTTCGATTGTAAAACTGTCCCAACTGCACAACTTTGGTAATGGATGTGCGTAATCTACCAAACTTCCTATTCCGAAAAAGACAACGAGGCATAGATTCCGCTGCAGGAAACTAAATTCCAAAGAACGTTTCTTGTGAGGACAGCGAAAATTGGATTTAATACGAAATCCATTCCATTGATACTTCTCGACCTCAGTCTTTAGCTGAGAACCTTCTAGCGTGTAATGCACGTATGTGTATGTTTCTAAATTTGCATGTCGCCGGCAATACAGGATGGATGTTTGGTACAGCTGACTGAGTGTGACGTTCTTCATTGACCCCCCGCGAACATTAAGACGATAGGACGTAGAGAGTTTCTCACAACCATCATCATTCGGACGGAAAGTCTTCTTCAAGTATCTCCAAGGTAACCGTTGCCATGCATTATGAAGGACAATTTTTCATTGCTAACGTTACCATCGGTTTTGGACGGGGTGCCTGATCAAGCTTAAATGCACGTAGTACACTCCCGAACGTCTCATTAAACGGAACATCTATCTGGAAAGCTCTACGCTTGAACGTCACTTCAACGAGGAGATCAGGTGGTGGACAAGGCTTCCCTAATAGTTCACACCAGGGGAAACAAATTTCCCAATCTACAGTTTGGCGTGTTTTCTGGTAATGGTTACTAACCTGACAAGGTGTTGTCGCGCTACATGTCACGCTTATTGAGTTTTCTCGCACTTGCACCTTTGTGTCATTATTGCAATTTTCGCTGTTTACTTTAGCTATCTTCTTTTTGCGCTGTTTTACCACCTTCTTACTGTATTTAATCTACTGTTCCTGTTCCTTTTCCCTTGCCTGTATTTCACCTGACGAGAAGGCTTGAAAGTATACTTGTGAAGACAAAAACTTTCAAGATGTTTGTAATGAGCCTGAAGTGTGTCCTTTTTATGAGTATTATAACCTGACACGGACTGTAAATTACCATCAGCTGCCTCTTCATGTTTAACATTGACGGAATGGAACAGATGGGCTGGACGTTAGAAGGTACTGACACTGGATTGCTGTTGTTGATTCTAAACCTCAGTCTTCGTTCTGGCTCGGGAATGGCAGCCAACGAGCGTGTTCTAACTGCACGCCTTTGTAGAGCATGCAGATTCTTCAACCTTGTACCTGTTGCATTGTAGTCTAGTGCCTGTGTCACTGTAGCTTGGTGTGTTAAAACCTGTACAGTAATAAGACTAGTATCCTTTGCATGTGAAGTTCGAACCTACCTTTTTCAGAAGCTTTCCTTTTTTTCTTTACTTTCTTCCAATACATGTCTTCTGATTGGCCGAATCTGTGCCATCTCTCTATCTCCTGATTGGTCTAAACCGTTGCTCGTTGTTATGTGAAACCTGAACTCTCTTAGTCTTGGCACATATAAAAAGCTCTGTCTCTGAAGAAAGATCATCCTTCATTTCTTCAACCACTTCTCCTTGCTCTGGTGAGACTTGTTGGTTGTTGTGTGCCCAACCACTTGGGCCACGCTACACCTTCACTTGATCCTGGTGAACACTGACCGCATTGAGTTCTGTCCTCCAAGACACACAGGCACATGTATTTCTATGTGTCAGAAATCTGTCAGTTTACCGGGCCCTGGTTTTGTCCACAGCGCTAATTAACTCTGCCTTTGGCGATAGCCCTTTCCCAAAGATGCTCGCCATTTTTTCGCAACTTTACGATGTTTAGGAAGAAATCGCAACTTTTGCAACCTTCTTCATTTTCGCGAATTATTTCGCAACTTTTCCTTTCCCCACCTTGGCCCCATGGTACGGGGTCAAAAGGTCAAGTCAAGAGCTACATGTCGGATAAATGCATACTCGCTCATTTCTCGCCTGCCTTCAGACTCATTTCAGAGAAACAGTAGATCAACGGTAGTTACGATTAAGTGTGCATTCCCTTTTCCGGGCACTGGATAGCTTACCAACCCAACTTACTTCTAAAGCAGTATACCAATTTGAGTGTCGACAATGTGGTAGGACCCTTTTCATTTTTGTTACTGCACACTGTTTTCCATACTATTGATAGCGATTAAATAAATTAGCCAAGTGTCCGTTCAACTCTTGATTGTGATTCTAAGATTGTTGTCTCCACGCCACTTGTTTAATTATGCAAACAACATTAAAAAGCTGTTTGTAGCCCCCAAAGCACTGACACTCGGACGGAGTAACTGCACCGTACTGATATATGATGGAAACAGACTTTATTGGATATAACTGAGAGACTCGCAATACGATGATAAAGGATAGTGATAAAACAGCTGGGGAAAAGATACGCTCAGAGAAAACACCAGGTCTGTCATAGTGCGCTAGCACCACGCTCTTACCACCATGTTGAACCACTTCGCAAAATAATATTATTATTATTATGTGCTTGTTCGCGTAGACATCAGCATGGCCTGCAGCTGCATTAATGGGCATGCAAATCATGCAAACCAGCCAAAAATGTTCGCATAAGCCACTTCAAAATAATATAGCAGTATATTTCCTTGGAAACACTTAAATAAGATAGATAAATAGGAAAGCAAGATGATACAAGGAGGCAATACTTTATAGTCCAGGCAAGCGGGGAGATAAATAAGATGTCTGGAAAATATAGTTATATGGCAATATTCAAAAAGAAAGAGACTTGGGGAGGTCCATGAGAAAAAAAGGTCGAGATAGGATAGGCATGACGTACTCGAACTGATCTCATCCAAGTAAGCTAAGCCCACATTTGAACATGCATAAGCATGCATGTGCACACACACACACATATGCACACACACACACACACACACACACACACACACACACACACACACACACACACACACACACACACACACACATACATGATCCTGTCAGCCACGAAAACACCTAAGACCAACTCACTTTCTAGTGCAGCATCGCCAAGCTCTCTCTAGTGCAGCATCGCCAAGCTCTTTCTAGTGCAGCATCGCCAAGCTCTTTCTAGTGCAGCATCGCCAAGCTCTCCATATCAATGCCGTCTCGCTCAAAGCGCGACACCTTGGCCAACACCTCAGCCAGGGCTAGGTCATCCATGTCGTTAGCTTGATACATGGACACTCCGTCAATGGACGCCTGCTTACGCATGCCTCCTGCCAGCTGCACTCCGTTGAACTTGACGCGTACGGACTCGCGCATGGTCCTACGTGTCAGAGTGTCCGGAACCCACGTAGCAAAGATGACCTTGTTGCGCTTTCCGCCGCTAGTTGTCGTGTACGGTAGGTTGACGATAGCCCAGCGGATGTCCTGATCCAGCCCGACAAAGTGAGCCAGCAGCTTTGCCCACAGTCCACCATCACCATTGTTCTCCTCCCAGTCGATGCTGGTCTCCGGCACGATCTCCGACTCGTCCTCCGTCAGGCGGAACACGGTGGCAAAGTGTTTGGCGTTCGTCACCGCCTTCATGCTCGTCCACACGTCGTCGTGCACCACTGGGTCCTTCTGCAATTCCACGGCTGTGAAACGTGCACCGTTCTTGTTCTCCATACTGATCGAGTAATTATAGTTTTATTTTTTTGTTGGAACTAGGAAGCAGGATTTTTCTACCAAATCAACACTGTTGCAATGATACAGTGAAAACTAGTGAAATACACGCTCTCGGTAGTATACCACTGAATGAATTGAAATTGAAGATTAATTGGGCGGTAGTCCAAGCGATTAGTTTACAAGTTAGTTCTTGCTTGGCTATCTGACTTGAATCTTCTCTTCTTTCTTTTCTGCTGCGTCTCTGACTGGAAACATTGCTCTGTGCGAGCTTATATCGTGCCGGTGCGTTCGCTGACGCGATACATCGTGTCGTAATCCAGGTCGTTTGAATTACGCGCTTCTGCCCACGCGCGCGCTACGACAATTCTAACACGACCATATTGGGTCAGGTCGATCGCCACCAACGTATCAGTTTTGCTGCTCTGGCAAAGCTCACATCAATAAGAGAGAACAGAACAATAGCGCGTCCGCATCACCTTCGGAAGTTCCGAGAACTAAAGTCAGTATTGGCAAATGTCGAAATTGTGAAATGAACCCACGCCACGGCCCGGTCTCTGTCACAGTCTGTGTCTGAGTGAAAAAAGTAATCATCGTCCAATTCCAACTCTTACGTCATCATGATGTAATGGTGTCACGTGTGTTTTTCGAAGAAATCACGGAAATCCAGCATTTCAAGTCATTCAAACTCCAGCGGCAAAAGACTTTCGCATGGCGTTCGCTAGCTGTCGACTGCCCCACATGCTATAATCGTGTTCGCTCTTGACGTTATCCTCTCTCTACCGCTCTATGTAGCTCGACGACTGCCTTGGCTTTAGCCTAGTTGGTGCTCCCTCCTTGACCCTGGAACTCGTTTAGGTCAATAACTATGTGAGTGCAGTTCCAAGGGAGACATTCATCCGTGACGTTCAACCAGCCACATGCACAATGCTCCACACTGCCCCATAAGTTATAGCTGTCCTATTCTTCAAGACTTGTAGCGGGTGTTTCAGCCATGATCTCTCGTCGACTCCTTTCCAGTAATAACGTGCTGTTGCTGTTGCTACTAGTGTTCGTGGAGCTGGTATGTAGCTTGCCCGAGCCTGTGCCGGCGCTTGCATCGCCGCAGCAGACGAGCACGCCATCGAAATTGCACTTCGTACAGTCATGCCATTTTGACGTGGGTTATGCCGACACGGCAGCCAATATCGTGAACAGGTGGGTGCCTGTTCGGTGTTTCTGTAGCCAAACCAGTTACCTTGCCAGGCTTGCAGTTGTCAAGTATTAGCAATGTTCATTCTATACCTCTATACACCCACCATGGCTTGTCACATGCGGTAATCGCCGGCAACGCTATGTGAAACATTACTATTAAATTTTTGATTCGTGTAAGCCATGGTGATTGCGAAATGCGTAGCTCTTATTAGTCATGTGTGCATTTGGGTGATACTTGGACATAGTGCATTGCTTTGTCACCGTTCACTTGTAGACGTTACCATCGTGCTGATGAGCTAGGAGACATACAAACAAACACACACACACACACATACTACACACACACACACACACACACACACACACACACACACACACACACACACACACACACACACACACACATACTACACACACACACACACACACACACACACACACACACACACACACACACACACACACACACACACACACACACACACACACACACACACACACACACACACACACACACACACACACACACACACACACACACACACACACACACACACACACACCATTTGACGCCTATCGCCTAGCGATGCTACGGCAGAAGCCATAGGAACTTGTGCTGGGGTTGCACCATTGAACAGCTTCCTAGGCTGAAGAATTGACCAACACTATTCAGCCTGCTCTACACCGCACAACTATGAAGTGGCTTTTTCTGGCCGGGGAATCCCTACTTTTTGGGCTTTTTTCATTTTTTCACACACACACACACACACAC